ACTCATCGGCCTTGCCTGCATCCCTCCACGGATGTTCGTCTTTGGTGGGGGCATAAGTAACCACGACCACCACTCCTCGCCTCCGGTTGATAGGAAGGGAGGGCCAAAGTAGCCTGGGGCTTAAGGTTTCCCACACCTCACCGTCACACTCCCACGCCCCCTTTAATTATTTTATTCAGAAGAGCCACTCCCTGTTGTTTGGCAGTCTCCTGCCCCGAGTAGAGGACTGTCCACCCCTCATGGTGGCAGGAGCCAGAGCCGGTTCTACCGGACCTCCCGAATACCACAGAGATCTAGGCGGTACCGGTCCAGCTCCTGACGGAGGAGCGGCAGCCTCTCCTCCACGCTGAGACGGCTCGAATATTCCCACGTGGACAATCTCGGCACTTCTCCTGTTCCTGGAGGAACCCTGATATGGGATGGGGTGGTGGTGTGTGGTTCAGTCTGGCTCTGCCAGACGGAGTCTGGCCCAGAAGGCGTCATGAACGCCTGACCCACTGGTCTCTAGCAGGACCACGAACCACCGCTGTTATCACCGCAACCATCACTATTAACACAACCACCACTTTCGACATCATCACCACAACCACCGCTATCACAACAACCACTATCACCATGACCACCACCATCATCGCCACAACAACCACTATCACCATCATCACCACAACCACCGCTATCACCATCATCACCACAACCACCGCTATCACCATCATCACCACAACCACTATCACCATCATCACCACCACAACCACTATCACCATCATCACCACAACCACCACTATCACCATGATCACCACAACCACCGCTATCACCATCATCACCACAACAACCACTATCACCACCATCACCACAACCACCGCTATCACCATGACCACCACCATCATCGCCACAACCACCACTATCACCATCACCGCCACAACCACCACTATCACCATCATCACCACCACCACTATCACCATCATCACCATAACCACCACTATCACCATGACCTCCATCATCACCACTACCACCACGATCACCATCACCACAACTATCACCATAACCACCACCACCATCATCACAACAACCACCACTATCACCATGACCACCACCATCATCACCACAACTACCACCATCATCACCATCACTATGATCACCATCAACGTCACCACAACCACCACCATCATCACCACAAGCACAACCAACCACGACCATCACCACCACAACCACCACTATCACCATCACCACCACCACCACAACCACCACTACAACCACCACCACCATCAACACCATCATCACCATCATCACCATCATTATCACCATCAACGTCATCGTCACCACAACTACCACCATCACCACCACCACTACTATCACCACAACCATCACCACCACAAACACCACTATCACCATAACCACCACCATCATCATCACCACTACCACCACTATCACCATCACCTGTGCCACCTTGACAGGTCCATCCTTCACGTCATCTTCCTTGGCATCTTCCCCTTTCAGTTCCTCGTCATCGTCACCATCTTCATCATCGTCACCATCCTCATCATCGTCACCATCTTCATCCCCGTCATCATCATCGCCGCCACCACCCTCAACGTCTTTCTTTTCGTCCACGACTCCAGCCACTTGATCATCAACTTCTTCTACATCATCACCATCATCATCATCACCACTACCACCGTCATCATCACTATCATCGTCTACTTCATGATCGTCACCTTCAGCGTCATCTTCATCATCGTCATCTTCATCATCTTCATCATCGTCATCTTCATCATCGTGTCCACCTTCACCATGGCTGCTCTGCCCTAAGCTAGGGATCTCCACGACACTCGAATCCTGGATGGAACGGGGTGGGGGGTGTGGGGTGTGGGAGACACGGGCAGATCAGGGGAGATTACGAGTCGTGGAACAGAGACGGGCATTTAAGATTGCAATGATAGGAAAGTTTGCAGATGAGGGTGGGTAGACTTCAATGTTAAAGGCTCCCATAGACTTCAATGTTAAAGACCCCCATAGACGTCAATGTTAAAGGCTCCCAAATACCCCAATGTTAAAGGCTCCCATAGACGTCAATGGTAAAGACTCCCATAGACTCCAATGTTAAAGTCCCCGATAGACTTCAATGCTAAAGGCTCCCATAGACTTCAATGTTAAAGACTCCCATAGACTTCAATGCTAAAGTCTCCCACATACTTCAATGTTAAAGGCACCCATAGACTTCAATGTTATATTATCCCACAGACTTCAATGTTAAAGGCTCCCATATACTTCAATGTTAAAGGCTCCCAAAGACTTTAATGTTAAAGTCTCCCATAGACTTCAATGTTAAATTCTCCCATAGTCTTCAATGTTAAAGTCTCCCATAGACTTCAATTTTAAAGGCTCCCATATACTTCAATGTTAAAGGCTCCCATAGACTTCAATGTTAGTCTCCCATATACTTCAATGTTAAAGTCTTCCATAGACTTCAATGTTAAAAGCCCCCATAGACTTCAATGTTAAAGACTCCCACAGACTTCAGTGTTAAAGTCTCCCATAGACTTCAATGTTAAAGTCTCCCAAAGACTTCAATGTTAAAGGCCCCCATAGACTTCAATGGTAAAGGCTCCCATAGACTTCAATGTTAGTCTCCCATATACTTCAATGTTAAAGTCTTCCATAGACTTCAATGTTAAAAGCCCCCATAGACTTCAATGTTAAAGACTCCCACAAACTTCAGTGTTAAAGTCTCCCATAGACTTCAATGTTAAAGTCTCCCAAAGACTTCAATGTTAAAGGCCCCCATAGACTTCAATGGTAAAGGCTCCCATAGACTTCAATGTTAAAATCTCCCATAGACTTCAACGTTTAAGTCTCCCATAGACTCCAATGTTAAAGGCTCCCATAGACTTCAATGTTAAAGTCTCCCATATACTTCAATGTTAAAGACAACCTAGACTTCAATGTTAAAGACTCCCATAGACTACAATGTTAAAGGCTCTCATAGACTTCAATGTTAAATGCTCCCATAGACTTCGATGTTAAAGGTTCCCATATACGTCAATGTTAAAGGCTCCCATAGACTTCAACGGCAAAGGCTCCCATAGACTTCAATGTTAAAGGCTCCCATAGACTTCAATGTTACAGTTTTTCATAGACTTCAATGTTAAAGTCTCCCATAGACTTCAATGTTAAAGGCTCCCATAGACTTCCATGTTAAATGCTCCTACAGTCCTCAATGTTAAAGTCTCCCATATACTTCAATGTTAAAGGCTCCCATAGACTTCAATGTTAAATGCCCCCTAAGACTTCAATGTTAAATGATCCCATAGACTTCAATGTTAAAGACTCCCATAGACTTCAATGTCAAAGGCTCCCATAGACTGCAATGTTAAAGTCACCCATAGAGTCCAATGTTAAGGCTCCAATAGACTCCAATGTTAAAGTGTCCCATAGACTTCAATGTTAAAGTCTCCCATAGACTTCAATGTTAAATGCTTCCATAGTCTTCAATGTCAAAGGCTCCCATAGACTCCAACGTTAAAGTCTCCCATAGACTTAAATGTTAAAGACTCCAACAGACTTCAGTGTTAAAGTCTCCCATAGACTTCAATGTTAAAGTCTTCCATAGACTTCAATGTTAAAGGCTCCCATAGACCTCAATGTTAAATTCTTCAATAGACTTCAATGTTAAAGGCTCCCATAGACGTCAATGTTAAAGTCTCCCATAGACTCCAATGTTAAAGTCTCCCAAACACTTCAATGTTAAAGACTCCCATAGACTCCAATGTTAAAGTATCCCATAGACCCCAATGTTAAAGTCTCCCAAAGACTTCAATGTCAAAGGCTCCCATAGACGTCAATGTTAAAGGATCCCATAGACTTCAATGGTAAAGGCTCCCATAGACTATAATGTTAAAGTATCCCATAGACTTCAATGTTAAATTCTCCCATAGACTTCAATTTTAAAGGCTTCCATAGACTCTAATGTTAAAGTCTCCCAAAGACTTCAATGTTAAAGGCTCCCATAGACTTCAATGGTAAAGGCTCCCATAGACGTCAATGTTTAGGTCCCCCATAGACTTCAATATTAAATGCTCCCATAGACTTCAATGTTAAAGACTCACATAGACTTCAATGTCAAAGGCTCCCATAGACTTCAAAGTTAAAGTTACCCATAGAGTTCAATGGTAAGGCTCCCATAGACTCCAATGTTAAAGTGTCCCATAGACTTCAATGTTAAAGTCTCCCATATACTTCAATGTTAAATGCTCCCATAGTCTTCAATGTCAAAGGCTCCCATAGACTCCAATGTTAAAGTCTCCCATAGACTTCAATGTTAAAGACTCCCACAGACTTCAGTGTTAAAGTCTCCCATAGACTTCAATGTTAAAGTCTTCCATAGACTTTAATGTTAAAGGCTCCCATAGACTTCAATGTTAAAGTCTCCCAAAGACTTCAATGTTAAAGGCTCCCATAGACTTCAATGTCAAAGTCTCCCATAGACTCCAATGTTAAAGTCTCCCAAACACTTCAATGTTAAAGACTCCCATAGACTCCAATGTTAAAGTATCCCATAGACTCCAATGTTAAAGTCTCCCAAAGACGTCAATGTTAAAGGCTCCCATAGACTTCAATGTTAAAGTTTCCCATAGACTTCAATGTTAAATGCTCCCAGAGATTCCAATGTTAAAGGCTCCCATAGACGTCAATGTTAAAGGCCCCCATAGACTTCAATGTTAAAGGCTCCCATAGTCTCTAATGTTAAAGTCTCCCATAGACCGCAATGCTAAATTCTCCCATAGACTTCAATTTTAAAGGCTCCCATAGACTTCAATGTTAAAGGCTCCCATAGACGTCAAAGTTGAAGACTCTCATAGACTTCAATGCTGAAGGCTCCCATAGACTTCAATGTCAAAGGCTCCCGTAGACTCTAATGTTAAAGTCTCCTAAAGACTTTAATGTTAAAGGCTCCCATAGACTTCAATGGTAAAGGCTCCCATAGACTTCAATGTTAAAATCTCCCATAGACTTCAACGTTAAAGTCTACAATAGACTCCAATGGTAAAGGCTCCCATAGACTTCAATGTTAAAGTCTCCCATAGACTTCAATGTTAAAGACATCTCTAGACTCCAATGTTAAAGGCTCCCATAGACTTCAATGTTAAATTCTCCCATAGACTTCAATGTTAACGGCTCCAATAGACTTCAATGTTAAAGGCTCCCATAGACTTCAATGTTAAAGGCTCCCATATACTTCAATGTTAAAAGCTCCCATAGACTTCAATGTTAAAGGTTCTCATAGACTTCAATGTTAAAGGCTCCCATAGACTTCAATGTTAAAGGCACCCATAGACGGCAATGTTAAAGGCTCCCATAGACTGCAATGTTAAATGCTCCAATAGACTTCAATGTTAAATGCTCCCATAGACTTAAATGTTAAATGCTCCCATAGATTTCGATTTAAAGCTTTCGTGACTGCAGGGATTCATCTTCTTGGTTCTTTCGGTAAAGTCACGTAGAAGGGAAGTAATAAAATAATAAAAATAAAACACAATAAAATTATTCTCACGGCGTTTCGGCCACAACGCAAGCAGCCGTCTTCAGGTGAAAACCAGGTCCGTCGAGGCGACAGAGTCTGAATGAAACAGCACACGAGCTTCGAGCATATATAACAGCTGGGCGCCTTGACAAATGAATTAGCATATCAAGATGAATTTAGCATATTTATGGGAAATGCAGGAATGTGAATAGTACTACATATGCATGTGCATTATGCAGGATTAACAGCATCAAAGGGAGCTTGAGTTTGCTGCTGCTGCTGCTGCTGCGGTTTGCTGCTGCTGCTGCAGTTTGCTGCTGCTGCTGCAGTTTGCTGCTGCTGCTGCAGTTTGCTGCTGCTGCTGCAGTTTGCTGCTGCTGCTGCAGTTTGCTGCTGCTGCTGCAGTTGCTGCTGCTGCTGCAGTTGCTGCTGTTGCAGTTGCTGCTGCAGTTGCTGCCTTATCCATTTTAATATAACACTATGTATTATTCTACCCACCCTAATGTGTATCACACTGCTATAGATTTACTATACAATTACGACACCATACATTACTCTGCACACTGCACCAAGCATACAAATGCCACACTATCTGCCACTATACACTGTACCATTGATCGCCGTGTCAATGGGTGAGTGGTGGGGGAAACTTGCAGCGGAGCAAAGAATCCATTCCCTGCGGAGAATACAATGCCAGTGAGTGGAACGCGGTCTGAAAGTCACCGTAAACGTGAACACAATCAGTTAAGATCCGAAATGGTTTATTACGTCCTTCCAATGATTGCTAAGCCAGAATCCATCTTCTCAGTTGAAATTGTCTCTGTGTTTGTATATGTGGATCGCCTCATGAAAGAATCTCTCATGATAGCCAGATGGCTTGCAGACAACCTCTGTCTTGGGGAAGTCAATGTCATGTGAGCCCACTGAATTGTAACAGTGATCTGCCACGGCCGAGGTGTTAGTCCTACCGTGTTTCAGGTCTGCTTTATGTTCACGGATGCGGTCCGAGACATGTCGTTTGGTTTCTCCAATGTAACTGCTACCACAGAGGCAACTTAGTTTGTAGACGCCAGGGTACTGTATGTCTGGAACCACATCTTTTACAGACGGGACCAGATCACGGATTTTATGTACTGTGTTGAATCGGACCTGGATCTTGTGTTTAATCAGGATTTTGGAGATCTTTTTTGTGACCCCAGCAATGTAGGGTAAGGTGATGGTCTTGAAAGGCTCCTCAACAGGATCCTTCTTGATGGTTGGAGTGATGGCCTTGCGGATTGTGTAGTCGGAGTAACCATTAGCCTTAAGAGCTTGG